GCTTTTTACTGTTTCTGAAAATAACTCCTTTTCAACTTTTTTTTTTTCTTTTGCATAGCATTACCGCTTAACTGTGGTCGTAAAAAGATGTCACAGAGCATTGATAACTTACCTGTTAAATAATAAATGTTGTCAAAAAAATATGAACAATTCGAATCTGTGTTTGAACAATAAAAAATTATTTTAAATTATAACTTATGAATAGCTTTTTTGAAAAATGGTTAAAAAAGTGGTTAAAAATATCAATAACTGCTTGTTACTATAAACGTTTTTTACTCATCAAAATCTGAGACTGACTGAGAGATTGAATCGATAATTGAAATAAAAATGAGAATAAAATTGGCTGTTTTAGAAAAGAAGAAGTACTAAAAACAACTTTTTAAATAAAAGTTAATCTTGTAAATTATAAAGTCACCATTCATCTCTGGGACAGAAGTTAAAACAAAAATTCTTATTTTGTAGAAAAACGGTGTTGAAAAAAATAAAATAGTTTATTAGCAGCTTATCAAAAACAGATTAACTGTTTTATGAGGAGTATTTGGAATGATTAAAAAAGAAAGGAAGAAGGATGACAGTCAAGTTTGTTGTTATTAAAGCGGGGTAACTGTTGACACTGCCGCAAAAAAACAACTTTTTTTTTTGTTCTTCTCAGCTGTCATTATAAATTTCTGTGATCTATAGGAATTTTGAAAGTTTAGTTGATTCAGTTAACTGCATTGAGGACCACTGAATAGATCTAAACGACCATTCTTGTGAGCAATCGTCGCATCAAAAACGTAAAACTTATAGAACAAGTTTGAAGTTTGAAAAGATCTTATTTGATTCTTTATTTGAAAAGCAAATAGATAACTGAGTGAATAAATAAGTAAGTTACCTGATTCAAAAACTGTAACCCATATTTTCCCTGATATCGAACAGCCGGATGAGAATCTTTGGCAAATATAGTTAGCACTTCAATAAGTTTACCAGCATCTTTGGAGTGTAAAGCATTTCTGGCACCTGTACGTTCCAGCAAACGAGTTACTGCTGTTGCACATTCGGTACGAATTGTGTTATTTTTGCTTCTAAAATTACGTTGCTTCAAAAACCTCTATTACTTTTGGAATTTCAAAAGTTGCCTAACATCTTCAGAAAGAACTGACTTAATTCCAGAAGCCAAAAGTGCAGTTAAGACTTTTCCAGCTGAAGCATTTTTAACCATTTCATCCAGTGAATTTGTAGCATCTTTGCGGATGAATGCATTACTGACATCTCCAGCTTTTTGCAGTAGCACAAGACAAACCTTCAAAAAAAATTTGTTTCTTTCTTGCTTAATTTTCTTTCGGTTAATCGAACCGTTATAAACGTTAAAAATGTTAAACTGGCAAGAAAAAAAAAGCGTAGATCTTTAATGAGAAGTTTTGGTCAGCAAAAGAAAACCTTATCAAGTTCACTATCCATTTTCGTATTGAGGCAGCTGAACAAACGTCCAAGGGCTACAATTGCAACCCGAGAAACGCTGGAACGTAAATTTTTGCATTCATTCAACAGTGCCATAACAATTGCATGCAAATCATTGTTCAGGGCTTGTGGGGATGTTTCAGCAATTTGTACAATTGTCTGTATTCCTTCAACCTTACCAGTCCTAAAATTGCAATAAAAATTTTTCGTATAATCGAATATTAATTGCGAAAACACTGATAACTGTTTTCAACCACTGATTAGCACTGTTTAACGTATCAGTTCTTTTAGACTCAACAGTTTTGATCGCCTATAACAGTAAAGACCTGTCTAGGAAATGACAGCATTTATCTCACTATAAAGATTTGAAATCTTTAAATCTGTGTGATCGAGAAATTATATTTTATTGTATTATGCAAAGAAAATTATCTTACTTGAACCACTTTTAATTGAAAAATTTTTGGCATTTATTAGCAAAAATAAAAAATGATAACTTGTAACTTCTTATTGTTGTATTACAAATTTTTTTAATTGTCAAAAAATTAGAAAGAATTGGCTTTTTGCAAATATACTGCCTTGCCCATCTTTTACTGTTTTCATCAAAATGTTTTACACAGACTGATAAACCAATTTGCTAACACATACCATTCGCCACCTTCTATTTTCTTTAAAGCAGTATAAACAAATTGATCGGGATGATTACGGATAGCGCTAGAATCAATTTTTCTTGACAATTCTGTAAAACTCATCGATCCTTTTAGGCCATTTGATAAAACTTTTTCACTGCCAGCACTTTTCGATGATCCAGGCTTATAATAGTTACGTTTTGGCTGCAAATAAAAAAAATCTCAATCTTTTACTATTCTATAAACAATTTTTTGTTGCATTTCTGATTTAACATTAACTGTGTTGTCAGATAAAACACCAATTGTTGTCACTTATTTGTATTTGAAGTAAGAACAAAAGTCTTTTTTTTTAAGACTAACCAAAAACTCTTCACACTTACTTAGTGGTTTACTAGTCCCTACTGACTTAGTGCCAAATTACAAATTTAAACAAAAAGAACTGCTAAAAACAAAAACAAAAAAAAAAAAAAAAAAA